GAGAGCCGCGGGAATGCAGACCTCTACTGTGAACTGTTCAAGTGTAACTACTTTTTTTTTTGGTGTGTTCACATAGCAAGTGCCAAAAGTTTTACCAAGTTTCGTACCATGCCGATGAAGTAAAAAAAAAATTTTTAAAAACAAAATGTAACATTTTTCAGTCAAAAATGACCAGATAGCACCAGAGGGTTAAAAGATGCATGTTTGTTGGAGCTACTCATTTCTACACCAGCAACTGTTTTTCTGACCTTTCCAGTTGATTCTGCTTGTGAAATATTAGATCTGCAGCAATCTACAGAGTAACATGCACAGAAGTGGCTGAAAGTGAGCGGTCTGGTTTTGTCTCACAGAAGTCACGTCAGGTCTGTCCACAGCCGGCAGCAGCTGTCAGCGGGAGCTCCTGGTGCTGAACTTTGACATGGATTCAGAGTGTGTGGATGGAGAACTGAGAGCGGCGCTGCAGTGGATCGCTGCGTCTGGGCTCGGCGTGCCGGCGCTCTACTTCAGAAAGACTCAGGAGCACAATCTCGCTAAGGTGAGGACAAATGGAGGTCATGCGTTTGCTAGAATAACTAACCAGGTCCAAGCAGATTCTATACCCACACAGATTTCAGCGCTTCTCATTCATAAAGTTCTCCAGTCTCTACTAATTTGATTATAGTGACAGCTAGCAATAGTTACTGAAGAAACATACAACATGAATGCAGTAAGGTCATGTGACTACGATGTTGCATTTTACAATTTGAAAACATTTTAACAGTGCACAAAATATACTGTTTTTAGAGAAAATTGGATGAAGTGTAGTGTATGGAGGCAGTGTTTTGAGCCCTTCAGCAAAGCTCCAGGGGTGTAGAGCTGTGCAGTTTGTAGTCCTAAAACCTGAAAAACAATTAGCATGGATCCTCTCTGGAATTTCTAATGGCTTTTTAGAATAGTTTGTGGTTAACTTGAGGAGACTTTCACATTTTGTTAAACAACACAACTTACACACAGTCATACCTCATTCTCAGTCAAACATGAATTTTGAAAGGGTAGAAGCCAAAGTTGATGCTGTTTTTTATCATTCATAGATCATATATATATATATGAGGCTGTTTTTCAGGTTTTGGGCCTCTTCCAGTAAAGAGAAATCTTAATGCTTCAGCATACCAAGACATTTTGGACAATGCTATGCTTCCAACTTTGTGGGAACAGTTAGAGGAAGGGTATGTGCCAGTGCACAAGGCAAACTCCATAAAGATGTGGTTGGATGAGTTTGGTGTGGACAAACTTGACTGGCCCACACAGAGCCCTAACCTCAAACCCATCGAACACCTTTGGGATGAACTGACCCACAGATGCTCTACTGGATGAATGGGCAAAAATTCCCAATGAAACACTCCAAAATCTTGTGGAAGGCCTTCCTAGAAGAGTGGAATGCAATGTGAAGAGAAGAATGCAATGTCGTTAAAGGGGACATCGGATGCCCATTTTCCACAAGTTGGTATGATTCTTTAGGGTCTTTATGAAATGTCTGTAACATACTTTGGTTCAAATTCCTCAACGATCGTGTAAAACACCACCTTTTTACCTTGTCAAAAACTGCTCTGTTCACAGCGACCCGTTTCTGTGCATGTCTCTTTAAATGATAATGAGCTACTGCTCACCCCGCCCCTCTCTTCTCTCTTCGGTGGCACGTTACCATCAAAAACAAAGCTAATCCACTGCATCCTCCGTGGCTCTGATGTCGGGAGAAAATGAAGACTCTTATGTTCATTTTTACATCCTACAAAAACTACAAAACACCTGCATTGCTTACGAGACGTTGTTGTTGCTACAGCTGCTCGACTGCGGCAAAAATGGCGGAAATATGCTAATACGGGACAGTCCGTCAGCTGCCGTGGGCGGGGCCTGAGCAGTATGACGTCATACTGCTCAGAAAATCAAAATGGCTTCATAATTGAGACTGTTTAGGTTTTTTGGGGATTAAAAAAAAAGGAGTAAATGGATTTTTATCATTGTAGGGTAGTTGTGTCCACACTGCTAAGCCACATTTATATGCAAACACCATGTAAAAGTGAATTTTGCAACCAATGCCGCCCTTAAAGTACCTGGTCAGGTGTCCCAATAGTTTTGATCATATAGTGTATATATATTTTTCCTTCATTTGTTCTGCATGGCTTTGGCAATTATTTATAGTTGGTGTTGGTTTGTATGCATATGCATAAATATGCATGTATGTTACTGCTACATGTATGCTGCATAACAAAATGGATGTGTATTTTAAAATTGAATAAAAAGTTCATCACAAAAAAAAAGCATAATGATATAACACAATTATCATTAACTAAAACCTCAAATAAGCATTTTCATTACTTAAAACTGAAATAAAAATAGACATTTATTCATATTTTCTTACACAATAGAAAAATGTACACAATTAAAAAAAATAAAACGACAAAAAAACAATACTTAAACTTTAACTAAAATAAAGTGAAAAATTAAATCTGGTATAACTGCAGTGACTGTTGATGAAGATGATCTTGGCTCATGAAGAACTGAACAGCGTGTGTTTGTTTCTCAGTTCCACAGAGTGGTGCAGTTGGCAGGTCAGAAGGCTTGGCGTGTTGGTGACTTGTTCAGTGCTGTGGCTCAGTTCTGTCAGCTCCACCAGGACCTGGAGCACAGAGGACGGCCTGTGCCCAGCCTGTTCGACTGGATACTGAAGACCAAGCGCTAGAGCGCCACCCATCTATGGACCAGGAGTTGGAGACACCACATATCCGTCCTGTGCTAGCACACGTATATAGTCTGAAGCCAGTGTGAAAACACCAAACACCAATCCCATTTGAGCCACTAATAGACCCTCACACAACCAAACTGTTTATAGACTCATAGATCCCACAGACTCATCCACAGCCACCGCCATGACTGCACATCAGCACGTTTATCTAGAGCTCCCCTGTGAAACTCTGTTTATCACAGGACAGCAAGGTTTACAAGACACCTGCACGCATTAACAGCTCCAAATCCCAAGATCCTTAGCATGAGGCTTCCTTAGTTCCGAACTTGCCCTCTCTGACCACCAGCACATCCACATTTGATATCCTTAAAATTCACAACTTGCATAAACCTTTATTCACACTTGTATGTCTTTGCTAGATCACAGAAATTATGGGATATACTGTAGGAAGAAATGCCTTGTCCATAAATATGTGCTAGAGATGCACATTCGCATAGATAGTGATTTAAGGATATTTCCCTTTAAATTACGCATGTTCCTGTCTTTACGCGCACGCAACGTTAGATCCACCAGTCACCAGCCAGCGCTGGTTAGAGGAACATGGGTTAAACCGACCAATCAGCCTTGACGTTTTTGTAGCTTGCAGATTTTTACTGTACAACAAACCCGTTTCAAATGCACAACGTGACTTTTTATCAAGAATAACGGACGTGCGAGCTCTGGTGTAGGGATTTAAAGATATTTAAATGTTTGTATTCAAAGTGAAATATAGTGAGATTCCATTCCAAACACACTTTGTTGTTTTAAGTTTACATTGGCGAACACGTTCGGTCATTTTATTGTACCTCTCGAGGCTGAATTCTACGTTTAGTTTTGTGTGATTACTGTTATTTAAGAGAGTTTATTTTGGCTAGATGTAAACAGTCTAGACTGTGAGCTACTGTACCTTTGGGCTGCAAATGGAAATTTCAGTTTTTGTGTTTTATGAGACGCAGACAGACAGGATCACAGCACTGAAAGTCTCACCAGACTACTGTAAAAGTTTCAATATAAAAGTATGAACATAAAAGAGTATATTTAAAGTACAAGTACAGTTTTGTCACGTAAAAGTTGATGTGTAAACGTGAAATCTGGTGGCGTTATGGTTTTCTCTGCATAGTTACATAATAGTAATGTGTTTTAATATCAGTGTTGAAGGCACACAACTGTATTAAGTCTGTCACGGTATACCTGAATGTATTTATCTTTTCAAAATAAAATTTGCGTACGGTGAGTTTGATGTCAACAGCCTCTATTTGAAAAGAGACACGTGTTTGAATAAAAATTAGATTATATACACATTCAGGCAGCTGTTAAAGGAATAGTGCACCCAAAAATGAAAATTTGCTGAACATTTACTCACCCTCAGGCTGTCCAAGATGTAGATGAGTTTGAAGCGATGGTTTAAAGTTAAAACACCTTGATGGATTTGTTTCTTACAAACTCACAGCTCTTCACTTACTTCATGTACCGGAGACTTGTGGGTTATTGTGACGTTTTTATCAGCTGTTTGGACTCTCATTCTGACGGCACCCATTCACTGCAGAGCATCCATTGGTGAGCAAGTGATGGAATGCAACATTTCTCTAAATCTGTTCTTATGTAGAAACAAACCTTTCTACTGCACATCTTGGATGGCCTGAGGGCGAGTACATTTTTAGCAAATATTCTTATTTGGGTAAACTATTCTTTTAACCTGAAAAAGAGATATTCCAGGATAAATACACAAGAAAATAATTGCGATTTAATATAGTAAGTCTTAATATTGAATAATTGACTTAATATTAAAGTTTGTACAATCAAAAAAAAAAAAATGTTGACAAGCATGCATTTAAATTGAAAGACTATAGAGCAACAGTTTTCCCATTGACTTCCATTATATATTATCATTTTTGGTTTAGCAAACAGGTATGAATCAAAATAATTTTTCGTGATAATTGACAGCATGAGTTTAACTTGTATTTGATCCAGAATATTCTTTAAGGGGGAAACTAACGGCAAAAATAATGTTGGGAACACTTTACTTGAAGCCCTAAATATAATGCATTCTAAAAGTATTTTTAATGCATTAATAAAATCTCATAATAAATACTTATCTATTTAGCACTACACCTATAAAAATCATTATGCATTACAATATGACAACATAAAAGAATCTGCAAATATTATAATGCATTTTAAATTTGCTTACAGTTATTCATGCAAAAAGAAATGTATTATGAATACCTTTATGATGCATTATATGTGAAGGCTTCAAGTAAAGCGTTACCATAATGTCCTCCACACATACATGTTCTCTGTGAATTGGAATACTACGGCAGTGTGACAAGATGACACACAATATCTTAATCAAAAGAGGTGCAGGAGTACTGTAAGATCAAAGTTCAGGCCGCTCTCTCAGTGCCAGATCCTGCAGGTGTTGTCTTTACTGCCTGCAGAAAGATTGACAACAAGGCATGAAATTACTGACGTATGATTACGTTTGTGGATTTATGAGTGTTACGCAGGTGCGTGTAATTGCCTGTAATGATGGTGTCTCCCTCGTAGTTGAAAGCGCAGGAGAAGATCTCATCAGAATGTCCCTCCAGCACCTGCAAACACACTCCCGTGTTCACGCACCACACACGAGCCGTCTTATCCACGCTCGCCGTCAAAACGCGGCTCCCCTGCGGATTAAAACACACCTACGGCGAGAGAGAGAGGGAGAAAATAAAAAGCTAATTATATTTCTGCCTTTTGTCATGGTAATGCGTCGGGGCGGCTCTACATCATATTCTATCATGAAACAATTACTTTTTGTTTTGCATGTGGAACATCCTATTTCAGTGTGCAAGAGAAAAACGGGAGGAGAAAGAGCGCGAGAGAGACAGCTGAACTGAATTTGACCCGTGTTGGTATGACAGGCGTTTTATTATAGCGCTGAAGAACCGAGTGTGTATGTGCGTACTTGAGTTATCATCTTCATACAAGAAATGGAAATATTCTGCTGATCATGCTGACGGTCAGGAGGGGGATGGAAAAGAAAGGAGAGAGGATATTATGGCAAGATGGTTTAAGGATAGGCCTGAGAAAAGACGAGATGAAGAGAGCAATAAGAATGCAAACGGCCGTATGAATATGCAGAGATGACGAACTACTGGGATGCTGGGATGGAGGCAAGAGGGCAGAACAGGTGGATATAAACAGGAAGGGACCTAGACAGGAAATGAGCACCTTAGCAGACCAAGAAAGAGACTGAGTGAAGAGATACGAGAGGATTATTGAGTCTGAAGCTGGAGGGACAGGCCGAGGATGGAGAGAAAATGGGATTTCTTACCTTTGATATCTCTCCATTATGGCCTTCTAATTGACACAAACATTGGAAGGTTTCTGCGCTGAACACTCTTGATGAACCTGTACACAAAAACCCATGATCAGACTCGATTATAGATGAATCTCACGAAAACATGTCCAGGTCACAAAATCAAGTTAGATGTGAGTGGCGTAAGATGTGCCAAGACGGAGCCCCGCACATGACATGGGGAAAAAATATATATAACATGGCCACGAATTAAGAATTTGTTCCCACGACTGGTTTATTTGTGGCCATGATTTACTAATTTGTTCCCACACAGAAAGAGTAAAATGTGGCCACGACTTACTAAATTGAGGGAACCAATTAGTAAATCATGGCCATGAATTAACAAATTGTGGGAACAAGTTCTTAATCTGTTGCCACGATATAATTTTTGTTCCTGCATGTCATGTGCAGAATTCTGTAATTTTGTGAATGCATCTTCTAGTGAAAACAAAAGACTTCTCTTTCCACTCATTTAGTCCACTTAAACCAGCCCTTTCACAATCAACTGCAACTCACATTCATTTTTGAACTCAATGCAAAAAATCCAATCGACAACAACCAATGAATATCACCATGTCCCCACCCTAATTTTCTTTTCTTTTTTTAATAATCCATTACACTCGGATCAACGTCACAATAAACAAGATCTGCCATGACTTTAAGTTGTCCTCCAGGCAAAGAGAAAATACTAATATTTATATAATATTTCAGAATGTCTGCTATCACCTGAAATGAGAAGCAAGCATTATATTCATAAGGGTAAATTGTCATATAAGTTTCATTATATGGTAATAGAATTATATGGTAATGCATGAAAACAAAAAACAATTCCCCTTAAAAAAAGTCTTATTTTACAGCACATATTAACATCTTTTATAAACAGGCAGAAAACAGGCTTTGATTTTTCAGAACATTTGAATATAGTGAAATAATTGTTTTGTTTAAAAGTAAGTATTAATAATATTTGTAGTAGTATTCCTGTATTTTGAGGCAAAGCTGTTACTATAAGTTGAGACACTGACACACATATGATATAGACGACAGATATTATGAGTCTGAATCAGATGTCTCACCATCCGCAGAGGCCGTAGCGATCAGTTGACCAGTGTAGTTAAAACACACATCCAACACCTCATCATTATGACCCAAGAGAGTAGCCAAACACTGACCGCTGTCTGCGTCCCACACCTACACACACAAACTGTTATATAACACACACACAAACCACACCACGACCCGAAATAACCTCACAAACACACTGTGTATTAGCCAGATTGAGTGAATTCCATTAGAGAGTGGGCATCACTCTGGGTGAGTGCTGTGAAGGGTGCAGTGTGTCCCCTTCAATGGAATTTGCCCATTCTCTTAATTTAACACAGACATACATGCAGACATCTCAGTGCTATTATCTAACCACAGACACACCAAATGAACTGACACTGACAAAAGCTGCTAAAAAGCTGAGAAGGACTTTGTCTCACTGTGTTTTCGAGAAACATCAGACTGTGCTGAATAATTAAGAGCCCTCACACTTCTAGGAACAGACAGACAATCAGAGGAAGAGAGTTACTCAGACAGATCAAATGGGTCACATTAAAACATTAAAGGGGTCACATTCATGAAAAATAGAATTGTCCTTCATCTTTTAAAATAAAAGAGTTCAGTCGTGTACCATGTAAACAGTTTCAGAACTTGCAAACACGTCTTGTTCCAGATTTACTGTCTGGAACCTTGCTACATAAATATATAAATATAAACTAATAACCAAATTCATTTGATTCAGCATCTTGCTATCACACTGCTTCTGATGCAACCGACAAACACTGGGAAGGGAAAAACTCAATTTGGATGCAAAATTATTATAAACGGACCTCAGGGGGGAAATCATAATTTAAGAGGCTCTTTTACGAGACAGAACGAGAGTGAAGAGAGACAGAAACCTTGCAGGTTTTATCCAGAGAGGCCGTGACGATGAGGGAACAGTCCCAGTTGAACTGAACGCAGCTGATTTCTCCTCGGTGACCTGTGAGAATCTGAACTTTGCTAGAAGAGACAGACAAAATACACAATGTCACTAGGCTGTCTGAAAAGTCAAGTCACATTTATTCAGGGCTTCTAATTTTCACAAATTAAGGACTTAAAAAGGTCTTAGAGCAGAAAGTCTTAAATTCAAGTTGTGGTATTCAATGTATTTTTATCTAAACAACCTTAAATCAAGATATATATTTACTTCAAATTGAAATGGAATCAAATTCAAATTGAAGATAGTTGACTTGTTTTCTGAGAAATTCCACATAATTAAGTGTGAAATATCTCTCAATGAGGTATGACATTTGTTTTCCTTGATTTTTCTGAGCCCATACATTGGCAGATATTTTTTCTTGTTTTAATCATAAACTCACTTCATTTTGATCAATTTCTCTGAAAACAAGACTTCTTATCTTGCTATTTTACTTCTCAATGTATCTTAATTTAAGAAACTTTAGACATTTGCACTGGAAAACAAGACAAAACTACTGAGGAAGAACAGTGTGTGTGTGTGTGTGTGTGTGTGTGTGTGTGTGTTGTGTGTGTGTGTGTGTCTGTGTGTGTGTGTGTGTGTGTGTGATCAGTAGGTACGGTAAAAGTTAAAAGTTATCAAAGACTATAGAATACCCAAGACGCGTCACTCGTATTGTTTTGAATGGGGAAAAATATCAATATGGCCGCTCTATCGAACGAAGCCCCGCCTTCTGAGCAAAAGAGCCAATCGCTAATCGGTAAAGTCAACGCGTCATTGTTCTATTGTATTTTGCGCCGCTCGCGTGTGTAGACACGGTGTGAGACGTGCGCCTAGGATATAGGCTTAGATCTCTGCCACAATTCTGCGTGTGAAAGATATTTTGAGCGCACAAAAGTGCATTTTGCATGCGCGCGATCTGAGTTTCGTGGAGAAAATTTTCGTTTCGCAAAGAAAAAAGTATTTCAAGCACACGAAAATCAGTTTTGCATTTAAAATAAGTTTTTGGATGTGTGCAGACCTTTTTTGCGCGTGCAACGTTTCACTAGCTTGCTCCCTTGATGCCCGCCCTCAGTGCTCTCTAAATGCCAACGGCTCGCTTGCTCAACACAACCCAGCGGTACAATATCTTCTTCTTCTTTCAGGTTTAATGGCGGTTGGCAGCGGTACAATATGCCATAATTCCAGCCAATCAGAGACGAGGCTGCTAAATTCTGATTGGCTGCCTTGACAACCATTCACAACATTTCTTGCATTACCACGACAGCAGAAGAGGAAAAATACAGTGCATGCATAATTATTATGCAAGTTGATATTCTGATTATATTTTTTTCCAAGCACATTTTACCAATTCCAAACAACATCAATCATTTAATTTTTTTTGTGAATGAAATGAATTAAAGAGCAATTGCGATCTGTTCAAAATGTGTATTTTCAAACTGTTGCTTATACAACTCATTTTGAGCTCCCTAGACAAATACATTTAGAGAACATATTTATGTATTCAAGTTGGTGCCTAAATTTTCTTTACTTGGTCTTAAAAAAAGTCTTAAATTAACCTTAATAAAACTTACAGAAACCCTGTTATTTGTAAAGCTCTTTTCATAATACACATCATTTCAACGCAACTTTACAGAAAGTCAAACTGTTATGCCTATAATGCCTTATTGCCTTAGATTTAGGGATGGGCACTATGACAATATATAAGAATGATACGACTGATTTAGATCTTGCTGTTTTTTTCTATTTATAGTGTTGTCTATATCAGAGCTGCAGTGGCATATCTGTGCATTCAAGGCAATTAAGAGATTTAAAAATTGTCTGTTGTGGTACTGTAGTGAAAAGGAAGTTGAAAAATGAACTATAATGTATACACCAACCTGCCAGAAGAAACGTCCCACAGAATGGCAGTGTGGTCAAACGACCCCGTGACCAAATGATCGCCCATTGTGTTAAAGGAGAGAGAGATGATCTCGGCGAAGTGACCCTGAGAAAGTGTTGAATAGAGAAACGCTGTGAGTGGAGAGAGGAAGCTTTAATAGAAAGGCAGCCTTTTTCACTTCATATTAATTTCCCCAATTCATCGGTAAGAACTCACTGAGCTTTTCATAATTTAGATTCATCGAGAAATAATTAGAGAGTTAAGAGGGGTAATTACACAGCACACACACTGCGCTCGGTCACACTGCTCGGGGTGTCTACAGATATAAACAAGTTAAATTTAAGACTTTTTAAGATCTTTTTAATACCACCTTATGTGAAATTTAAGACCAAACCTGTGACAGAAATACACATTATATTACATACTAGGGCTGGATAAAAAATATCGATATTAATCGATTCTCATTTTTACGTAACGATATCGATTCTTTTAGGGTGCATCACCAAGATTTTTGGTGTGACTGTAGAATTTTTTTGCGGCAATGTGACTAAAATATTTAAAGACCCACTGAATCTGAATTTAAGACATTTTAAGTCTTTTTAAGGCAAACTTTATTTAAGACTTTTAAAGGACCCGCTGGCCACCCTTACTGCTCTGCCATGTGCTGCGATGAGGAACAGACCTCCAAACGCTCTGTCTCATCCCCTCTCCCTCCGTCCGCAAGTTTCTCACATCTATACAGCTCCGGTTCAGACCGTGTCACATGACGCATCTGTTTGTATTCGGCACGCTGCTATTCGACTAAACAAAGTGGAATGCTTGAATTATCCCATAAATGGTCGTAATGACAGATTTGATGACAAAGTCATTAATAAACACACGCATGGATGAATTTTCACTGATCACTGGAGAGAAATCATTAAAAATCCCATAGGAGATAAGCACACGAGGGGGAAAATGATGACGCAGGATAGGTGGAAATGTGGATGATGAACAATAATGCAGAAAAACCACAGGATGAGACGTACTGCCAATGTGGACACCTCTTTTCCACTCTCAACATCCCATAATTTAGCCGTGGTGTCCATGCTGCCTGTAGCAACCAAGGTACTCTGAGGGTTGAAGGCCAAGCAGACCTAATAGTAGGCACACACAGAAAATAGAGGCAGTATTTGAGATTAATCAACCAAATTCCAAAAGCACAATATGAATGCACAGGGTTCTGCCCCATTTGGCATCCTAAGTCAAAGCCCTAGACATAATTTGTTCAACATACTTAATTTGGCGCCCCCTAAGAGATGGGACCCTAACAGTTTGGATATATGTAGGCTAATGAGTTGAATGGCTTTGCTCAATTTCACCAACCATTTCTTTTTCCGTTAAAGATACACACGACAAACGTGTTCTTAGCAATCACACTGTCATTGACCTTGAAAGTGGATTGGATGTCATTTTGGTCCACTTTAGTTAGGGTCTCAGATAACTTTCCATTTACACTACCGTCTTTTGGAATCCAATTTACGCCCCCTGAAGTTGTTTGTGTTAAAAGTCCTGTCCTACTTCTTTTTAAAATACTAGAAAGAAAGAAAAACTGCCACCAAAAAAATCAATGAACATCCAAACAAACAGAGAATCAGACACATGTATTAATGGATTACTATTCTTTAAAAAAGTGTCAAATCAAGCATGCATTATTGCATCTAAGGGACAGCATTTCAGTCCTAGATGACTTAATGGTATAGCTCTCCCAGATATGAACATTCTGTCATTATTTACTAACCCTCATGCCATTTCAAAGTTGTATGACTTTCTTTTTCTTCTGTGGAACTTAAAAGGAGATATGTTGGGAACCGAAACTTGGTACTTGTCTGTTCATTTCACCGTATTCCTGACATTCCAAACCTATTTGTTTTCCTTTCTTCTGTGGAACACATATTTTGCAGAATGTCCTGGCAAATGTTTTCCATATGAAGTGAATTGGGATAGGGCTGTCGAGCTTCAAAAAGGGCAACAAACATAAAAGCATATTACTCGCGCAATATTTCTAGTATTTCACAGCCTTTGTGGGAGGAACACACTGAAAATTAAATGGCTTAAATCACATCCACTGAAACATATCAAGACACACTGTGCCAGGCTTGAAGTCAATGACGTCAAATGTCATTGGTCTCAGTGTCTCATGCCAAGATATATCTCCTGAAAAAGGACAGTCACACAGATTTGGAACAACATGAGGGTGAGTAAATGAGGACAGAATTATCATTTTGGGGTGAACTGTTCTTTAAACTGCTGAGACTAAGAGTGAATGAATGGAGAAAACAGTGAGAATGCAAACGTACGATTTCTGCTGTGTGCCCTCTAAATGTGTAGAAACACTTTCCTGTTTCAGCACTCCACAATTTGCAGGTCTTGTCAAAGGAGCCTGTGGCAACCTTGTCTCTGAGAGAGAAAACGAGAGAGCGAGCGAGAAAGAGGGCAGCGAGAGAGAGAGAGAGAAAAGGACAAGGGCTCCTGTTATGACTCAAATTGACAAATGTTCCCATTGTAATAACAACACCAGTTACCCAGCAGTGCCCTAACCCTGCAGAAAGAGACAGTGAGGGCTTTTTTTTTTTTAAAAAACAAGGGAAGGATGAAGGGTAAGCCATTCTGAACGATTCAGGGCATAAGTGATGAAATGCGCAAGAGCCGTGCTGTTACCCGTAAGGGTTGTTGAAGGCGATGGCGTACACAACGTTCCTGTGGCCCTCCAAAGTGTGCAGCTCCTCTCCGGATGCGGTGTCCCATATTTTACAAGTCCTGTCATAGCTTCCAGTTATAAAACTGCAAACAGACGGAAAGTAAAGGAGAGGCAGAATTAGAGGGAGAGGGAGCAGGCATGTGAGCACAGCTGATAAACTCACCTCGATCCTGATTTATTGAAGGCTACATTCGTCAGGGGCAAGATGTGAGCCTGAAGTGCCTGTAGAGGAAGACAGAGAAGATGAACACTCGGGGGGATGCACTTAACCACATTAATTCATTTCAGATCTATAAGCATGACTATGTAATTTCCATACATAATTGCTATGACTTTGATGTACAAAAACAGCAGTTTACCCTCTGCTGCCACCTAGTGGGTCATATCGATATAAGATTTGTTGATCAGAGTAAATGTGTTAGAAAATCATTCAAATGCATTTAATTAGGCTATTTAGTGTATAAATATAATTGTGGTGGTAATGAACAAAAGCAGCAGAATTGAAGTTTGAACAAAATAATCATGTAATGTTCAATAATTAAATATCATGGATTCTTCACAAGTCCTTTTAAATAGTCGTGCTGTGTAACAAATGAATTAATAAAAGTACAAATGGCATGTCTCTCAATTATAAGAGGGAATATAAAAAGTACATGTATAATAAATACAAAAGAAGTAGCAACATGCTGTTTAAAGGAATAGTTCACCCAAAAATGAAAATTTGCTGAATTTTACTCACCCTCAGGCCATCTAAGATGAGTTTTTTGTTTTGTTTTTTAATCAGAACAGATTTGGAGAAATGTAGCATTCTGTCACTTGCTCACCGTGTGTGTGTGTGTGTGTGTGTGTGTGTGTGTGTGTGTGCTCGGTAAAACTTTATAATAAGGTCTTAAGGTCTTATTGCATTTGATAGTGCGTCAGTGTTTATTAAGCTTTGTTAACGTCAGTTAATATACCTGTTCATTAATGTTAGCTCAGGTCCATGAAATAATACTAACAGGTACAACTTTCGATTTTAATTATGTGTTAGTAAATGTTGAAATTATCATCAACTAAGAGTAATAAATGCCTTAGAAGTATTTTCCATCGTTAACTAATGTATTTAACTACTGTTAACAAGTGGAACCTTGTCTTAAAGTGTGACCTAGATATAACAAAACGAGGCCATGTGAATGTGTAGTTATGAGTGAGCTAGTTTGACAGTCATACTCTGGAGTCAAGTTTAACAGATCGATGGATTTCGTCCTTAGCTGCCCCCCTTTCTCATAGTCCAGGAATATTCCTGCGCAACAACAAAACAGGCTTTATTTTGCAAATGCGAATCCAACGAGCCTTCGACCAAATCGTTTGCAGTGTCAAATTGAACCAGGCACTCAGCAAAACTTTACTAGGTGAATGGTATGTAATATAAAACGTTAAATATGTATATTACCTGGTGGGTAGTATCGTATGTGTAGCCGTTTCAGTCTCATCACGCCAAAGAAGACGGTGTCAACAAACCGTTACTACGGTGACGAGACACGTGTGCTGCGTACCGCGCATGCGCACGTTCTGCCTGTTTTTTCCCCCCAACATAACGTTTTAGCGCATTGGGTAAGAATAACATCGTACGAGTTTATCATACGAAATCGCCACCTCTTAAAACAGTACATTTTTTTCATGAGATCAGGTTGAAATATTGCACTTATTATTTTACATGAATGGGGTATGAACACATTTATGAATATGACATATGATATATATATATATGTATGTATATGTATATGCGTAAAGATTACATATAAATATTACATAATATCCTTCTGGGACCCAGACATAGACTTGTGTCCTCTGTAGAGGACATTATATTTCATTATGAAGGTGCCATGTCAGTCTTATGCACACCCCTTCAAGTAAAGTGTTACCGACATTTTTTTTTTTAAATCACAAAACTTTTTTTTATGGTTCTCAGGAGCATATTGACAACACACTGCAGATTAGTTAAGTGCCTTATTTAGAAATCTTCTGAATTTTCTCAAGCTATAAACCTTGGTCATATATCTGTTTGTTTGTTTGTTTGTTTGTTTGTGTATGTAAAGCTGCTTTGAAACGATATGTGTAGTAAAAAATGCTATACAAATAAACATGAATTAATACGGTTAAATGATTTGAAACAGCATTCGATTTATTTTACTTTTTGTCAACACACACATATATGCACACACCAACAATTAGGGCCTACATGCACACAAAAAGGTCAAAGTCTCCATCATAAATATATATATTCATTTACCCTGATTCCTACCTTCATTTACAGCTCCTTATGAGGAAATCAGGGACTGGACTTGGCTTACTTTACACCGCACAGCAAAAACACCAACAGATACACCAGACCAACAGCTCCTTGACATAAAATGAGAGACATAATCTTGTGGTAGTGAAAATACAGACAGGCAGATAAAAATGAATTTCTGGTCAGACTGGGTCTTCCCCACTGTTTTGCTCTCTCTTTATGGTTTCTTTGCCAACTGCAGACCAGCAGAGCCTTTTCTTACACCTTACTTGGTGGGACCCAAAAACATCTCAGAGGAAGTGGTGAGTATTGCTGTTTTTTCATATTTTCACGTTGGCTTAAGGGCTCAGACAGATAACAATAGTGAGAAACAAGCACACACAGAACAATTTACACTATAATATACTTATAATTTAGTGTGGCAAATACTCCCGTTACAATAGGAATGATAAATGAATGTTTATAGTATTGACTGTATTAGATGTATTATAGGTGCCCTTGAAAACATATTTCCCAAACCTTTCTCTGAGCTATAATCATATTATCTGTTTTAAAACTTCAGAATCTTAAAATTAAACTAAAACTATAGTCAAAATATTGGTTAACTGCATTGATTACTATAATAGCGATGCATCACTCGTGCCTTGTGAGTCTTATCTCTTACGCAATATAGCTTGCAATAGCTGCACTGATTTCAAATCATTTAGCTAAACATTTCCTGTTGTTTCTGATTCAGATGACCAAAAACAATCTTCTTTCCACTCATCCAGGTAACAAACTATCTGTTCCCCATCTGGACGTACTCATATCTGGCTGTACTCTGTCCCGTCTTCCTGTTGACAGACTTACTTAGATACAAACCTCTAATAATAACTCAAGGTCTTTTTCTTGTCATAAATTACATACTTCTGTGCTTTGCTACCAGTTTAATTGCTCTGACCTACCTACAGTTCAACTTTGCAATGGTCACCTCCACCGAAGTGGCCTATTTTTCATACATCTACAGCGTCATTCCTCCTGAACGCTACCAACGAGCCACGGGGTACGTTCGCAGTGCCATGCTGACTGGATATGCCTTTGGAGCCACATTAGGACAGCTATTAATTTCACTGGCTGACACAAGCTACTTCCATGTAAACACTATTACTCTGGGTATAATGTCAGTGGCTTTCTGTATTTCTTTGGGCCTGCCGATGCCTCAGCATGGAATGTTTTTTAAGAAAAAGGCGGAGGTGTCTACGGACACACTGAATGAGGTTACAGATGCATTTGGGGGAGAAACGGATCTAAGAAAGCAGGCTACGGGAACATGCTGCGATTGGGGAAACATTAAAACCTCTGGAAAACAAATGTGGGAGAGTCTCAAAGAGTCCTACTCCTCCAGAAGACTGGTGCAGTGGTCCCTCTGGTGGGCTTTGGCTACAGCTGGATATGGACAGGTTTTTAACTACGTTCAGCTGATGTGGGACCACATTGAGCCCTCCAGTACATCCTCCGTGTATAATGGGGGAGTAGAGGCGGTCTGCACACTTGTAGGTGAGGCATTTTGTGGAGTATTTTAGTAAATAAAGGTAAAAAATCAAATTTCAAAAAGTTCATTTTCACAGCGGTGCAATAGAAGAACCATTCTGGGTTCCCCAAAGGATCTTTCGGTGAAACATTCTTAAAATAACCTTTTAGTGTGAAGAACATTTGAATGATCTACACTCTTATTGCCATCTGCTTCCATGAATGTATAACATCCATGGAACCTTTCCATTGTTCTATTTTTTAAAAGAAACAGTTCTTTGAGGAAACTAAAATGGTTCTTCTATGGCATCACTGTGAAAACCCCTCTTTTGGAAAATGAGCTGCTTCTGTTCAACACAAAAGAAGATATTTCAAAGAATGTTGGGAACCGAACAGTTGCTGGTAGCCATTGACTTCCATAGTATGGAGAAAAAAATACTATGTGTTCAACAAAAGAAAGATATTGATACAGGTTTAAAACAACATAAGGGTGAGTAGATGATGACAACATTTTTATTTTTGGGTGAACTGTGCCTTTAAGAGTATAGAGAACCTTTTGCGGAATGCAACGATTTCATGGATGTTAAAGGTTCTTCATTGAACCAAAGATGCCAATAAGGAAACTTTACTTTTAAGAGTATGAGTGTATCTGAGAGTCAAAGACTTCATTAAGCACAAACACTAGTTTGGTATAGTCACTTTAATTAAAGCAGAAGAGAACGTCTCTCAGTTATGATGTCTTGACAAGAACATTTAAAAAAAAAGGCAACATAAATGAGTTCTGAGTGCAACACAGAATAAAAATACAGTCTAAATGCATTTCCCTGATTTAATTGTTGCCTTGTGTCATGCCTCTTCTTTGGTCACAGGTTTAACATCTCTCTCATTGTGATTCATGCTGTGATTGCTGCTTTCAGGTGCTGCGGCAGCTTTCTCTGTGGGTTATATCAGAGTACAGTGGGATGTGTGGGGCGAGCTCTCGCTGGGTGTTTTCTCTGCCATAGGAGCAGGGTGTGTCTTTCTCATGGGCCTCACTAACAATATCTGGCTGTGTTATGCAGGCTACGCTATCTTCAAAGCATCATACATGTTCCTCATCACAGTCACAATGTAAGTTAGACATTACACAATGGACTTAGGAACCATAAGTTTTCTATAAGTAGAAATATATATATAGAGAGAGAAGAGATAATGAAAAGGAATATACAGTATATATAGGTATTTTTTCCATGACTAACGTTTTCCTTATTTTCCCCCCCCTTTTTGCTGGAAGGTTTCAGATAGCGGTTAACCTCTCAATGGAATGTTATGCTCTAACTTTTGGTATTAACACTTTTTTTGCTCTTACACTTCAAACTATACTTACTGCTATTGTGGTGGACAATTCAGCCCTGGGACTGGACATTGTGACACAAGTGAGCTCTCACTACACTGAACTTAATGAAATATAAGCCTATATGAAATAATAGTTCAGTATTAACCCCTGTAAAGCCTGACATGTGGTATAATCAGAATCTGTTTTTTTTTTTTTAATGGAACAGTTTTTTGACCTTTAAAAAAAAAAAACTTAAAACCTTTTTTTTTTTTTTTTAAGTTTGCATTTGGTGCAGATTCTGATATTTATATAGCCAAAATTTAAGATGAAATTCTGATAACTTTATAACGGTATAACAGGCTACTTACTGTACATAAAATGCATATAAATATAAGCTGTCACTCTATCTCCCAAGAGACAGATGAACCACAACCAATACCTGACCTGAACCTTACAATTATAGTAAAAGTATAAACTATCAATCGGATAGCAGAAAACATGTAGGCCTAGTAGATTGTGTACATTAAGTTTTTCACAAGTTTTGAACATTATGATCATTTAGATGCATCAAATGATACACTAGGTTTTACAAGGTTAAGGGGAGACACTGCAGGCAAAACACCATATACATATATATATATATATATATCAAGCCCAATGTTTTTTTATGCTGTTATTAGGCTACAGGAAAAACTGTATTAAGTGGTTGTGTGTTGTATAATATAATTATTTATTCGCCCAGTGTATTTGCATAGACTGTTCTGTGATATCATTTCCTGTTTACGATTTGAAATAAGTACTCACTTAGCATATATTTACCAAAGCCTACAATTCAAATAAAATATTAAAAATAATAAGACGTTTCTTGTGTAAATTAGTTAACATTAAGCCTTATAAACAAGTATCACAAGTCTATGTATCATAAGTATCATATAAAAAGAATTAAAATGTTAAACAAATAAACAGAAAAACAGTGCTTACTACAGTAACACGGAACGTTATCTGTAATATAACACCGGAAGTTTCTGAAAACGCAGTTGGGAATAGCGGACGTGACGTCAACTATTTGTAAAATGGGAATTGCAGTCTCATAACCTTTTGCAAGAACGTGTTGCCATTTTTCACATTTAATATTGCTAGTATGGTTATAAGTGTTTTGACTAAGCAATGATTGTTACAATGATGTTTTATGATAAAAAAATAATAATAATAAATAAATGAAGGAGGCAATGTAAGTCATTATAGTTCGAGATACATCTAATAAAATTATACTAAATATATTCTTTATAGATCAGAGAAAATAGTGCTAAAATAAATACTAAATACTAATTATTTCCGCGATAAACATAATTAAGTTATATTTTAAATAGAGCCTCACAATAAAAAAAGATTATGTGATGTCCGATGCCTCTCTTCCATTATCCATAAATGTTAAAAAATAAAATAAAAAATAAATAAAGGACTTTCTTTGGGCAAAAGCATTACGAGGGAAGAGCGCGCCCGGCTGTACAAAACTACACTTCCCACAATTCCACAGGCCAGAGTTGCGTAACTTTCGGAACGTCTTCCAGGAGAGACTCTGCGGCCCAGACGATTTGGCAGAAACATCAAACACCTCGATTCTGAATGACACAAAATCCAACGGAGTTGCATATACTCGTCCGTAAGGAGGAAATAGTCGACCGCAAGCGCTCGGAGGCTGGCTGTGAGAGATATTCACGGTGGATTTGAGAACGCAAGATCGCGAGGGCCTATCAAATATGTCCTCTTCCTCGCAGGCGTCTTCCCGGCGGCAATGGTGCTACCTTTGCGACCTGCCGAAGATGCCGTCATCCAAAAGACACTGTTAAGTGTTTCTTTTATAGCCCTTTATCTATTTGTGTCAATAGATTTCAATTACAATGCATATTTTTAAAGGCCGTTTTCTCAAAATGAGTTTTTTTCTCCAACACTGAGTCATAAATCTCCACTTCAGTAGCACTTACACACACCAAACTTCACATTTTTATTCCTGTCTATCTCCTGAAGGTTTTTACAGAGGGATTTGTTCATATATATTTTGCTTGATTATATACAACATTTTATTCCCCCAAAAATTGTGAAAATATAGTGTTTTCTGTCTGTTCTAAGCATTTTCTGAATTATGGAGTGACAAAAATGAGACACCCAAAATTCCCTCTGTAAAAACTTTTGACTCTAACATGTCAAAAAAATTAAACAAGAATTTTGAAACTGACATAATCCAGTGTTTAGATTTTTGTACTAGAAATGTATGCAAATTAGTGCATATTTCATTAAATAATGACTCATTTGCATATTCAAACCTAACATTTTAGAAAACTTGTAATACAAAAAATGTTTGCAATTATCAATGTAATCAATCAGCTGGGTAAGTAAGGTGTTTTTTTACCCTATTCACCTGCAGTGTCTCGCCTTAAAAAGATTGTCAAGAAAGTAACATAAATCATAACATGAAGCATTCAGACGTGGAATGTTTGAATGAAACTGTTAGTGTCTGGATGTGTTACGTTGTATTTAAATTGTTCCCCTTCTTTTACAGTTTCTTGTATATGGAGGTTACTACAGCACCATCTCTGTGCTCTTCCTCGTGCAAGGCTTGTACACAATTTGTAAGAATTACCGCAAATCTCCAGCAGAAACCAATACAGACCGGCCACCCTCTACCACTCTGGAGGATAAATATGGATCAGACAGACAGTATCTTGGTCCACAAAATGTGAACGAACAATCAGCATTATAAGTATATATATGCTGACTGCCATGCCTGGTCTGAATGCCCGAGCTGGCGGCGCCCCCTTGACCATTTCCGCTCCCATGTTGAACGAGCTCAGTAAAAGACAGGCCATGGGCATGGGGATGAACGTAGGTGTGGCGTCTTTCATGAGCCCAGAATTCGAAAAGGAGCTCAAGGAGAAGCAGAGGAACGCCGAAACCCTTGCTGAGCTTTCTGAAAGTGTGCGGAACCGTGCAGAAGACTGGGCGGGACGCCCCAAACACATTCGCGAGGCCTTGCACACCTTTTCTGGCTGCACTCCATTCAATGTCCGCTTTAAGAAAGACCACGGCCTGGTGGGAAGGGTGTTCGCTTTTGACGCCAAGCTGATGCTTGAGTTTGAGCTGAAGGTCTTCATTGAGTACCCGTGCGGATCCGGCAATGTGTTCCCCAGTGTCTTAGCGCTGGTCAAGCAGATGTTCCACGACTCTCAGAAAGACACCGGCAAGGTCATTAACTCGGGGTACAAATACGTGGAGTATGAGAAAAGGCACGGCACCGGCGACTGGCGCCTCCTGTCGGAGCTGCTCAGCGATGGAGTGCGGGTGTTCAAAGATGCTCCGGCCCCAGAATCCCTCCCGCAGCCTTACCTGGACCCCAGCTGCTCCATGTTACCCAGTGCGCTCTGCCACATCGGCCGTCCCACGCAGCCAAGAGTGCGCAGACGTAAAGCCTCGCCCGAGCTGGACAGTGCCGAGAGGATGATTTCTGAGGAGATGCGCCAGCATTGGCCGCTTGCTGCATATCCCGGCTTGCCCGGCCATATGCCCGCAACCTCGCTAGCCAGCGTGGGACTGCCTCCAGAGGGCATGGGGGCGCATGGTAGCGACCCGTCGCCCATCTCGGCGCTCATGAGTGTGGCTGACAACGTCGGCACAGCCACCCAGTCCCCTAAAGATGCTCCAGGCAGCAGCAGTGGTCACTCAGCCAACGCAGGGCGGCAGAACAGCGTAAGTCCTTCAGCCCTAGGCGTTCAGCTGCGGCTGGCCTCGCGCAATGGAGAACCATCGGCGGGCAGTAGCGCAGGAGGATTGACCACGACCGTCACCGCGTCCCTCTCTGACCAGGGCACCGTTATGGGAGGCGAAGGCTCAGGAGGTGGCGGCGGCGCCCCTCTATGCTGCACCATCTGCCACGAGCGCCTGGAGGACACACACTTCGTCCAGTGTCCGTCGGTGCCCGGGCACAAGTTCTGCTTCCCTTGCACTCGGGACTTCATCTGCAGACAGGGCTCAGGGAATGAGGTGTACTGCCCCAGTGGAGAGAAATGCCCTCTCATGGGCTCCAACGTGCCGTGGGCCTTCATGCAAGGCGAGATCTCTACAATCTTGGCAGGTGATGTGAAGGTGAAGAAAGAAAGAGACCCCTAACGGCCAGCAGCAGGTTTGACAATATAGACGTTTAAGATTTCTGTACATTTCAAATATATGGTTATTGAGAACTTTGTATTCATAAAAGAATCCTGGAAAATGGTTTCCACAAAAATATGAAGCAGCCCAACTTTTTTCATCATTGATAATAATCAGAAATGCTCCTTGAGCAGCAAATCGGCATATTAGAATGATTTCTGAAGGATCATGTGATCACTGAGGACTGGAGTAATAATGATGCTGACAATTCAGCATTGCATCACAAGAATAAATTACATTTTACCATATATTCACATAGAAAACAGTTATTTTAAACGGTAAATATATTTCACAATATTACTGATTTTACTATATTTTTGGTCAAATGAATGCAGCCTTCGTGAGAAGGGATGTTTTTACAAACATTAAATTGTATCAGTTCCAAACTTTTGAATGATATTGTTTGTGTGTATATATGTGTTATTTGTCATGAATAATGCACAATCTTTATGTTAACATGTATATTAATGCCTCCCCAACAGAACTCAAACCTCACTCTGAGGGAGCTGTGATCCTGAGCCCTAAAGATGGTCGCGGTGATCACGAGGCCCACAGAACTGAAGAGACGGCTGCTGGCGGGCAGGTCCTCTTCCTCCATCTACCCAGGCCCCCTCTTGCCTTTCGCTGTCTTTCCCCCTCCTTTTCCTGAGACGATGGAGAATACAGCCATTTTTCTCTTAAGTCAAACTCAAAGTCAAAGTCCGCTTTATTGTCAGTTCTTCCACATGTACAGCACATACATACAGAGAATTGAAATTGCGATTAGAGATTTAGAGATGCCCATGTATTAAACCCTCCAGCACTTATTTCAGATTTGTTGGCCCGCGTCGATTCTTAAGCAGCGCTTTAAGAACTTTCAATCTGCAAACCAAAACCAGGTTTGAAAAAACAAAAAACACATTTCAAAGATCCGGTGGGGTGAATTCCCAGAATGTGCTACAAACCACCAGACAGATGCAGATTGTACAGCGGGAAGCTTGTTTGGAAATGCAACTTCCTTTACAATCACAGAACTGCACCGACTACAGGCCCATTCTTGTCTTTGCTGTCCTATGCTGCATAAAACTAGTCCAGGAATATTACTAAGTGCTAAAAGCCCTTCCTTCAGATTGCTTCTTGATACAGCATGTATAATAGATAGCTTTATGTTTTTTACTCCGTGTAGATTGTACAAGAATTATCCCTTTCAATGGTTCTAGATGTGCAATCTCTAGATTTGATACTATGTTGCTTTATGTACCACTAAGTCTTTGAATGAATAGAAAACCAAAGATAGACATGCTGAATATTGTCGTATCATATGATGCTATAACATATATTTTTGTGGTAAAATGGTTTTGTGGATTTCGTCAGATAACAAGGACAGATATGGGGAAAGTTTTACATTGGGAACTTCTATTTAAACCTTAATGGGTAGACACACAATAGATTTTTATTACAAGTAAGCAGATCACTATATTTTCTATTGTAACCCATTGGCTTTTAAATCCTTGGAGGCGATGACTAGTTCAATATTATGACAACAGATCCACTCTGGTTTTTTTACAAGTTTATGGTCCAGATTGTTTTCTCTCCATTTTTACATGTCAAAGGCATACTTTATGACAATTGTTTTAATGTAAAAGATTTGAAAGTGCCAGCATCTATTAGTAGACTTGTTATACAACAGCCCCAAACATATTTGGACACTTCCAGATATTTTTGGGACCACTGTAGGTTTGGTTCTCCATATTGTTTTGACGTGTCTTCAGTCTTGTTTCATGACATTGGAAAATATATGACTAAATATATAAATGCACAAGTACTGTTCTGTAAGACTTTTGTTTTTAATCGGCATTTATGTTACAGCTTAAATTGTATTTAAATTAAAAGATTGACTTTTCACAAACCCTCAGAGACTATTGCTGTTCATTTTAATTCTTCACTCGTTTTAGTGATACAAAAGTCTGCAGAAATGCTACATTTTAAGCCTGAAATCGTTTTTTGCTATTCTGATATAATATTCAATATAGCTGTTTTTAAACATCTGAATATGTCTTGCAGTGGGACTCAATTTAAATAAATGTTATTGTTCAGATTGAGTTGCTTTATTCTAGACTAAATCTCTGCCTTGTTTTTGCTTTGTTTTTATGTTGTGCCCAGAAAAGTGAGTTCATTGCTGATCTAACTCTTCAAATGATTTTCATGGCTGGAACCCTACACTTTAAAAAATGCTGGGTTAAATACAACCCAGTGCTGGGTAAAATAGGGACAAACCCAGCAATTGGGTTGTTTTGACCCAGCGGTTGGGTTACTACCCAGAAGGTTGGGTTAAACATTTAACTAAACCGCTGGACCAAACCAGCCCAATTGCTGGGTTTGTCCCTATTTTACCCAGCACTGGGTTGTATTTAACCCAGCATTTTTTAGAGTATGTATTCAGGTATTCTAGTAATAATTTCTTTGACTTGAATAAAAAGAATTCACTTTTAGCTTAACTGGCAACACATTTTTACAGTATAGTTGACTTGGGTAACTATGCAGTGCAGTGTGGAAACGGTATGACCCCATAAAAGGTGGAACTGCACTGGGCTTTGAATTGATCATTACGAAAGTGTGATTATGTGTAAAGCTCATTGGCTTGTTTTTATATGAACTGGAGACTCAAAAACTGTTCAAGGATAGAGCATGTTTGCTTTCTTTGCCGCTGCTTATCTGCTGTGTTTGTGTTGGGAAAGGACATGATTTCAAACGTCACAGTTTAGATTTATTTATAGTATTGTCGGGCATATGTGATGTTTCACAGTTAGTTAGCAGTTAAACCAAATGACTATCAAATCTGTGACGGACCGCAATGTAATGTCAAATGTGAGGGTTATCATTTACTAAACTAAAAGAAATAAAATAAATGTTAACTGAAATAAAATATATTAAAATAATATGATTTTAATATTATACATTTGAAATTATTGCAGTTCTCATTTTCATTTAGTTTAACATTACGCAAATAACAAAAACAACAAAATTACTAAAAATGTAACCACAATTAAACAATTTAAAAACTACAATAGTATGTAAATAATACTGAAATAGCATTGCTTGCTTGAAGAAAATCTCGTTGGTTTCGCTCTGAGATTCGTAAAGGTCTCTCTTTGCTGTAATGCTAAACTTTGTCCAGCAGATGGAAATATTCTACCAACATATTATCAGATGATTTAGTAAACACAAGTTGGTAAGCGGTGGAATTAAATGCTAAACAAAAAATAATGTTCAGTAAATGGCATGATTGTCATTACACCTCATGGAACTGGACAGAATTTATAAAGTCAGGATCTATACCTATTTTTGAAAAATACCAACATCACACTGGGGCAATAGTTATAGATTTAAAACAACATTTCTAACATTGTAATGCATTATGGAACCTGTACAACCCACAAAGAACGTGTGTAATTCTACAGACACTTTCCAATAGAATTATCGAAAATATAGCCTATGTTGTAACAGAATCGAATTTGCAGCCTCAGCGTAATTGGCCAAATCATTGGTCAGATGTGGAACACGTGATTAATTGATTTCAGCAAGCAATAAATAAACAAACAAACACAACTAATGATAAAAGAATAATTATTAGCCTAATAATATTTACCTAAGATCAGTCATACAAAAGTCATACAATAGGCTATATATATATCAGGGCCGTCCTTAGCTGACGCGGGGCCCCCCTCGGCCCGTTCACGATCGCGTTCCGGGGGGGGGGTCGCCCTCGGTCCTTTCACCGTGGGGCCCCCTCAAGCGCGGGGCCCGGTGCGCACACCAGTTGCACCCCCCTAAGGACGACACTGATATATACATTTCTAATCAGTGTTGGGGAAAGTTACTTTTAAAAGTAATGCATTACAATATTGCGTTACTCCATAAAAAAGTAACTAATTACGTTACTTCGTTACTTTTTATGGAAAGTAATGCATTACATTACTTTTGCGTTACTTTTTAAATCTGGACAGGGCTTGCTTGTTTGCTTTTAAAATAAAAAAGTTATATTTTTGGCAAATATAAAAGCCTTTTCACACCAAAAGTGAAATGAATGAATTGAAAAAGTAACTCAGATATTCTCTTGTAAATTAAAAAGTAATGCGTTACTTTACTCGTTACTTGGAAAGGTAATCTGATTACGTAACTCGCGTTACTTGTAATGCGTTACCCCCAACACTGTTTCTAATATTCTGCTTCCTCCATTAGCGTCACCCATTAAGACTATTGTTATCCAATTATAGAGGTGTTAATGAACGATGCGCCGCTGCTTTGGCATGAGAAGCGCTGAGACAGCAGGAGGATGTTCAGATGCGTGTTCGCCAATACACCATCATCTCAAGACGCTGCAGAGATTACTGAGAAGAAAAGTGTGCCGAACACCAGATAGACACGTTTGCAAGTTCGCAAGACATTGTATTTCATTTTTGATCGTGCACCCACAGGCATTTGAATTATTAGAGGAACATTTGCAGTGAATAATAGTCGCAAACAGTCTCATACAAGCTATCATAACATCAAGAACAACTGGCAAATCAAGAATTGATTGTGAATAACTGTGAATAATTTTAGTTATAGATAATAACTCTTTTAGATAGGCTGCCACGAGGTTTGTGGGGACATCCCATAAAGTTGCATTTTGGGGGTCAGGTCTCTCCTAATCCTGTCGACCTCCCGCCAATTGATCAATTACATCTCCATTCATTAGCCATTAGGAAATGCATTGACATTGTGATGTTCCTGTCTGCGCCTAACAACAGATGTGTATTCACACAGCCTGCTGCAGTCGCGCATCGCTGTTGCTGCTTCTTCACGGGTCATTTCAAGCCAAGAAAAGTTTGTTCATAATTGATATTTTGTGCGGCAAAAAGTCTTCCAAATTCGAATCCGCGCTTGTGCACGCTTGACCACTATAAACTCGCAAATAATGTCGTTTTTTTTAAACAAAATAAGCAGAAAATAACAATAAAACGAATATAATAGCCTAATAATAATACTAGTCGAGACAAGTTAATTAAAACGAAAATAAAATATTCGGAAAGGCAGTTTTGTCGCTTTATATTTGAATCATATTCTGCTCAACAATCAAATCGGTGTATTTTGATTCTGTTGTATTTTGCCTTTTAGTTGTTCAACGCACATGAAAAGACGGCATGAGATCATCTTTTTAAATCTCGAGAATTAATCACCGTCCTTCGTGACCGAGCTGAAAGTGATAGCCGAGGGGATTTAACAACTTTTAAAACTGGCACCTCAGATTACTGATGTGGACCCCTGCCGTGATGAGTTTAAGCCCTGATGGGTTTATACCACCCTGAACACATCACTGATGACAGAAGAAGCATTAAATGATTCACTGATAACGACAAATCAAAAGCAAGAATATTCGCATGTCATCGGTCATGAAAGAACCTTACACGAGAATAAAGCCAAAGAACTTGTAGGCTACCCGTATCTATCTATCTATCTAGACGTCTATTATTAGGCTATATAACGCCAAATTACACAGAAGCGCTTCTGAAGTGGCTTTTAGGAGTCTTAGACTGTTTAATGCTGCTCAGAGGTGGCTCAAACGCATTTACACAGCAAATGCACCTTTTAGCAGCCTACGTTGATAATAGGGGCTGAGGTGGGACAGAGCAGGCATAATTTAATCTAGCTTTTATGCGGCTTTGTATTTTTACGAGAATTTTGAGCAGGCACAGAGCAGCCTTACTTGTAATGACGCCCATCCTTCTGTAAGTTACAGCAGAGGCCCTTCTCCATTTCATTCAGTTCCATTCATTTTCACTGTAGGCCTGAAGTTGTCTGGGATGACAATTGAGATGGACGCGTCGGCCGGCCAATATACAGAACAGCAGGGGGCAGGGGAGACCTTTAGGGATGTCTTCCTGAGTCCCGGGGCCTGTTGGGCGGTCCCTCACCTGCGCGTGTTTAAAGCCTGAGGTGAGGCTTTCCTGCATTACTCACCACAGAGACCTGCCGCCTCTCCACGACAGCTCCACTTTGGACTTCTCAGGATTACTTGAAAATGTTTACGGGTCCTGCCACGCAAAAAAAACTGAGTAAACTAAGTTAACTAATCATGAGAAAACAACTCATTGAGCCACAGGACTGAATACAACAACTAACTAACTGTTTAAAACGGTTTATTACAGTTCATGCTGTAAAATTACGTGGAATTACAAAGTGTGTTGTCTTGTGGGACGTTTTCTTTTTTTTTTTTTTTTAAGGAAACCTCTAAAAAAAGCAAA